GGGCGCCCGTGACAATGACGGCAATAAGGAATCGCAGGAGGGTGAGCTTCCCAAAGTTCTCAGTGACAGCAGAAGTCAGCATGCCCGGGAGTTCGATGGGAATCCGGTAGGTGGCAGTCAAAACCCGCGTCGCCCAGTCAAAACCCGCGTCGCCCGAGTCCTTTCCCGCATGGCTTCGATCACGGACTGGAGCTGTGGGCACTGTTTGCCGAGGACCAATTCGTCCTTCGCCGCCTGCCAATCTCTGGTGTAATGGGTCGGTGCTTGGAAGGGAGCACAACTGGGCTTACGGATGTCCAAGTTCGCGGCCAAGATCAGGTCGGCCTCGCGAGCGAAGGATTTAGGGACGAAGACATGCCAGCACAGGAGGCCTCGCGAAGACCCAGTGAATTTGGCAGAGAAGAACCGTGGATTGTTGACCCATTCTTGCATGAGGCCAATGGGGTACTGGAAGTCGCAGAGACGCATCAAGTCTTTGCAGTACGGACCAATCGCCAATTCTTGGGGAAGCAACGGGAGGAAGCCAAGACGGACCATGTCGGAAACCTGGATAGGGGTCGGGAAGACGCCCGCCCGAGGCTCACTGGACAAGACAGAGCGAAGTTCTTGCATGAGGATGGGAGGGGCAGTGTCCATACCGAACCGCATGCGAGTCTTGTAGGTCTTCGACCCAGTCTTCCCAGGTTTGTTGAGGATGTACGGGTTGCCGAAGTTGGGGTCGAGGTAGATCTTCAGGTGGGCCCAATCCTTGGCCTTTTCGTCAAACTCCTTCAAGTTCCGGATCCACAGTTGTTGTCGGGTAAAGCGACCGTCAGCAAAGGGCAGGAGGACGACCGTGGAAGTGATCTCGCCCCAAATACCGGAAGCAAACTGATGGAAGGCATTGTAGGCGGTCTGGACTTGATTGAACTCGGACGAACCGACGCCCTGCCAATCAAAGACAATCGACACGTTGAAGATGGTAATGTGCCGGAAGGGGGAGGCATTCCAAGTGACAGCGAGAAGGCGCGTCAATCGTTTGTCAGTGGTGAGGGGTACCGTGGAAGCGGGGAGAGAGGCAGCAGCGTCCCTTTAGGTTGGGGCGCTATTGTGGTCCTCTGCTCCATGTTCCTCACTGGTACGAACACACGGTTTGCTGGCTTCTGCGACGGCGTCAGTTGGAGCACTGGCTTCCTGTGTTCCGGTTGGGGTGCTGGCGATGACATGGACGGCGTCAGACAGGATCACTTGTTGGCGAGGAGGAGTGGCATCAGAAGGTGGAGTTCGTTGGAAGGGTTGGGACCGACCCTTTGGTGCCGGGTCGGTTTGCATCGGGACAGCGGGAGACGGGCGCGAATTGTTGGCCTTCGCACCTTTTGGGTTCTCTGGAGTAGATGCAGGGCGCTTCTTAGACTTGGACTGAGCCTTGGATATTTTTGACTCTCTTTCTAGTCGCTCGAATTCCTCCACAATGGGAGGAAGAATGGCCGGGCCTGTCCAAGGATGAGCAAAGAATTCGGATGCCGCTAGCCACATCCAAGTCAACGGCTCGGCGCGTTGAACAATTAATGTTGGGTCGAACACGAGCGCGAATTCCCAAAAGCGAGGCAACTTTTCGTCAGTTTTAATAACGTGTTGGGCCGCAGCGAGATCAAACACAACCGTGGGGCACTGTGTCGCAAGGCAAAGAAAGTACTCGCGAAGAGACCAGGAAGCTTTGTCATTGTCGGCGTCTTGAGAAAACAGATTATGCATGCTGGACCGAAGCTGGGGCATAGAACCACCAAGTGATGGGTCGTACACCTTCAAGCCAGACAGGATTAACGTAGCGATCTTGTTGTAAGAATGAGCATCGGCTTGGTCCGTACTGGCTTCAGCCCACCAGCCGGGGCATTTGGATATTGCCTGACCAAAGTGTTCCGCGGTGCGAGAGGACCAGGTGATAAATGCTTGGTTCCCAAAAACCTCCTGCCTCCAAGCCTTCTTGTAGAGCCGGTGAAACTTGGACACCTTGAGTTTCTTGGTGTACGCGACAAGCGGTCGTCCTTGCACTGCGCCATCCTTGGCGGTTTTGGAAGGAGGGGTTTGCTTGCGTTGGCTCTTGGAAAGCATGGTGTCAGGATTATCGATGTGGAGGGTGCCCTCAAGAATCTCTACAGGGTCTTCCATGCAGAGAAGGAAGTCCATTGGGTCACGGACTTGATCACCTTGTTCGTCGGTAGGATCGTCAATACAGCGGGAGCGAAGTTCCGACGGGACCCATTCAATGTGAAGCTTGCGATTCTGGTAGGCAAGGTTGGTAGCCGACCAGTTCTTGATGACGCGGATGAAATTGGGGAACGACGACTCGCCAAGGTGAAACTGAAGAAAGGATGGCAGGTTGTCGAGCACGTTCATTGCGAGAGGAAGATAGCGCTGGCGAACCACCACAAAATAGCATCCATCTTCCTCGGCTGGTAAGATCATGACAAACAGAGGGCTTGGACTGTCGTTGGTGAGGTCCATCTGTGCTAGCTTGTCGATCCAGGCATCGTCGTCCTCGGGAGACTTGGGTGCAGTGAGGAGCGAGGTTTTCGTCTCCTCCACAGGCTTTGGAGTGGAGGCAACCAAAGACTTTTTGATGATTGTGGTCCACTCAAAGGTTGGGGGGCCATCATCATCATCGTCATCACCGGACGACTCGCTATCACTCAGCACCTCTATGGCCTTGGCAGGGGGCTTCTTGGGTTCGGCGTCCTCCGCCTTCTTGGCCTGGGCGCCCGTGACAATGACGGCAATAAGGAATCGCAGGAGGGTGAGCTTCCCAAAGTTCTCAGTGACAGCAGAAGTCAGCATGCCCGGGAGTTCGATGGGAATCCGGTAGGTGGCAGTCAAAACCCGCGTCGCCCGAGTCCTTTCCCGCATGGCTTCGATCACGGACTGGAGCTGTGGGCACTGTTTGCCGAGGACCAATTCGTCCTTCGCCGCCTGCCAATCTCTGGTGTAATGGGTCGGTGCTTGGAAGGGAGCACAACTGGGCTTACGGATGTCCAAGTTCGCGGCCAAGATCAGGTCGGCCTCGCGAGCGAAGGATTTAGGGACGAAGACATGCCAGCACAGGAGGCCTCGCGAAGACCCAGTGAATTTGGCAGAGAAGAACCGTGGATTGTTGACCCATTCTTGCATGAGGCCAATGGGGTACTGGAAGTCGCAGAGACGCATCAAGTCTTTGCAGTACGGACCAATCGCCAATTCTTGGGGAAGCAACGGGAGGAAGCCAAGACGGACCATGTCGGAAACCTGGATAGGGGTCGGGAAGACGCCCGCCCGAGGCTCACTGGACAAGACAGAGCGAAGTTCTTGCATGAGGATGGGAGGGGCAGTGTCCATACCGAACCGCATGCGAGTCTTGTAGGTCTTCGACCCAGTCTTCCCAGGTTTGTTGAGGATGTACGGGTTGCCGAAGTTGGGGTCGAGGTAGATCTTCAGGTGGGCCCAATCCTTGGCCTTTTCGTCAAACTCCTTCAAGTTCCGGATCCACAGTTGTTGTCGGGTAAAGCGACCGTCAGCAAAGGGCAGGAGGACGACCGTGGAAGTGATCTCGCCCCAAATACCGGAAGCAAACTGATGGAAGGCATTGTAGGCGGTCTGGACTTGATTGAACTCGGACGAACCGACGCCCTGCCAATCAAAGACAATCGACACGTTGAAGATGGTAATGTGCCGGAAGGGGGAGGCATTCCAAGTGACAGCGAGAAGGCGCGTCAATCGTTTGTCAGTGGTGAGGGGTACCGTGGAAGCGGGGAGAGAGGCAGCAGCGTCCCTTTAGGTTGGGGCGCTATTGTGGTCCTCTGCTCCATGTTCCTCACTGGTACGAACACACGGTTTGCTGGCTTCTGCGACGGCGTCAGTTGGAGCACTGGCTTCCTGTGTTCCGGTTGGGGTGCTGGCGATGACATGGACGGCGTCAGACAGGATCACTTGTTGGCGAGGAGGAGTGGCATCAGAAGGTGGAGTTCGTTGGAAGGGTTGGGACCGACCCTTTGGTGCCGGGTCGGTTTGCATCGGGACAGCGGGAGACGGGCGCGAATTGTTGGCCTTCGCACCTTTTGGGTTCTCTGGAGTAGATGCAGGGCGCTTCTTAGACTTGGACTGAGCCTTGGATATTTTTGACTCTCTTTCTAGTCGCTCGAATTCCTCCACAATGGGAGGAAGAATGGCCGGGCCTGTCCAAGGATGAGCAAAGAATTCGGATGCCGCTAGCCACATCCAAGTCAACGGCTCGGCGCGTTGAACAATTAATGTTGGGTCGAACACGAGCGCGAATTCCCAAAAGCGAGGCAACTTTTCGTCAGTTTTAATAACGTGTTGGGCCGCAGCGAGATCAAACACAACCGTGGGGCACTGTGTCGCAAGGCAAAGAAAGTACTCGCGAAGAGACCAGGAAGCTTTGTCATTGTCGGCGTCTTGAGAAAACAGATTATGCATGCTGGACCGAAGCTGGGGCATAGAACCACCAAGTGATGGGTCGTACACCTTCAAGCCAGACAGGATTAACGTAGCGATCTTGTTGTAAGAATGAGCATCGGCTTGGTCCGTACTGGCTTCAGCCCACCAGCCGGGGCATTTGGATATTGCCTGACCAAAGTGTTCCGCGGTGCGAGAGGACCAGGTGATAAATGCTTGGTTCCCAAAAACCTCCTGCCTCCAAGCCTTCTTGTAGAGCCGGTGAAACTTGGACACCTTGAGTTTCTTGGTGTACGCGACAAGCGGTCGTCCTTGCACTGCGCCATCCTTGGCGGTTTTGGAAGGAGGGGTTTGCTTGCGTTGGCTCTTGGAAAGCATGGTGTCAGGATTATCGATGTGGAGGGTGCCCTCAAGAATCTCTACAGGGTCTTCCATGCAGAGAAGGAAGTCCATTGGGTCACGGACTTGATCACCTTGTTCGTCGGTAGGATCGTCAATACAGCGGGAGCGAAGTTCCGACGGGACCCATTCAATGTGAAGCTTGCGATTCTGGTAGGCAAGGTTGGTAGCCGACCAGTTCTTGATGACGCGGATGAAATTGGGGAACGACGACTCGCCAAGGTGAAACTGAAGAAAGGATGGCAGGTTGTCGAGCACGTTCATTGCGAGAGGAAGATAGCGCTGGCGAACCACCACAAAATAGCATCCATCTTCCTCGGCTGGTAAGATCATGACAAACAGAGGGCTTGGACTGTCGTTGGTGAGGTCCATCTGTGCTAGCTTGTCGATCCAGGCATCGTCGTCCTCGGGAGACTTGGGTGCAGTGAGGAGCGAGGTTTTCGTCTCCTCCACAGGCTTTGGAGTGGAGGCAACCAAAGACTTTTTGATGATTGTGGTCCACTCAAAGGTTGGGGGGCCATCATCATCATCGTCATCACCGGACGACTCGCTATCACTCAGCACCTCTATGGCCTTGGCAGGGGGCTTCTTGGGTTCGGCGTCCTCCGCCTTCTTGGCCTGGGCGCCCGTGACAATGACGGCAATAAGGAATCGCAGGAGGGTGAGCTTCCCAAAGTTCTCAGTGACAGCAGAAGTCAGCATGCCCGGGAGTTCGATGGGAATCCGGTAGGTGGCAGTCAAAACCCGCGTCGCCCGAGTCCTTTCCCGCATGGCTTCGATCACGGACTGGAGCTGTGGGCACTGTTTGCCGAGGACCAATTCGTCCTTCGCCGCCTGCCAATCTCTGGTGTAATGGGTCGGTGCTTGGAAGGGAGCACAACTGGGCTTACGGATGTCCAAGTTCGCGGCCAAGATCAGGTCGGCCTCGCGAGCGAAGGATTTAGGGACGAAGACATGCCAGCACAGGAGGCCTCGCGAAGACCCAGTGAATTTGGCAGAGAAGAACCGTGGATTGTTGACCCATTCTTGCATGAGGCCAATGGGGTACTGGAAGTCGCAGAGACGCATCAAGTCTTTGCAGTACGGACCAATCGCCAATTCTTGGGGAAGCAACGGGAGGAAGCCAAGACGGACCATGTCGGAAACCTGGATAGGGGTCGGGAAGACGCCCGCCCGAGGCTCACTGGACAAGACAGAGCGAAGTTCTTGCATGAGGATGGGAGGGGCAGTGTCCATACCGAACCGCATGCGAGTCTTGTAGGTCTTCGACCCAGTCTTCCCAGGTTTGTTGAGGATGTACGGGTTGCCGAAGTTGGGGTCGAGGTAGATCTTCAGGTGGGCCCAATCCTTGGCCTTTTCGTCAAACTCCTTCAAGTTCCGGATCCACAGTTGTTGTCGGGTAAAGCGACCGTCAGCAAAGGGCAGGAGGACGACCGTGGAAGTGATCTCGCCCCAAATACCGGAAGCAAACTGATGGAAGGCATTGTAGGCGGTCTGGACTTGATTGAACTCGGACGAACCGACGCCCTGCCAATCAAAGACAATCGACACGTTGAAGATGGTAATGTGCCGGAAGGGGGAGGCATTCCAAGTGACAGCGAGAAGGCGCGTCAATCGTTTGTCAGTGGTGAGGGGTACCGTGGAAGCGGGGAGAGAGGCAGCAGCGTCCCTTTAGGTTGGGGCGCTATTGTGGTCCTCTGCTCCATGTTCCTCACTGGTACGAACACACGGTTTGCTGGCTTCTGCGACGGCGTCAGTTGGAGCACTGGCTTCCTGTGTTCCGGTTGGGGTGCTGGCGATGACATGGACGGCGTCAGACAGGATCACTTGTTGGCGAGGAGGAGTGGCATCAGAAGGTGGAGTTCGTTGGAAGGGTTGGGACCGACCCTTTGGTGCCGGGTCGGTTTGCATCGGGACAGCGGGAGACGGGCGCGAATTGTTGGCCTTCGCACCTTTTGGGTTCTCTGGAGTAGATGCAGGGCGCTTCTTAGACTTGGACTGAGCCTTGGATATTTTTTACTCTCTTTCTAGTCGCTCGAATTCCTCCACAATGGGAGGAAGAATGGCCGGGCCTGTCCAAGGATGAGCAAAGAATTCGGATGCCGCTAGCCACATCCAAGTCAACGGCTCGGCGCGTTGAACAATTAATGTTGGGTCGAACACGAGCGCGAATTCCCAAAAGCGAGGCAACTTTTCGTCAGTTTTAATAACGTGTTGGGCCGCAGCGAGATCAAACACAACCGTGGGGCACTGTGTCGCAAGGCAAAGAAAGTACTCGCGAAGAGACCAGGAAGCTTTGTCATTGTCGGCGTCTTGAGAAAACAGATTATGCATGCTGGACCGAAGCTGGGGCATAGAACCACCAAGTGATGGGTCGTACACCTTCAAGCCAGACAGGATTAACGTAGCGATCTTGTTGTAAGAATGAGCATCGGCTTGGTCCGTACTGGCTTCAGCCCACCAGCCGGGGCATTTGGATATTGCCTGACCAAAGTGTTCCGCGGTGCGAGAGGACCAGGTGATAAATGCTTGGTTCCCAAAAACCTCCTGCCTCCAA